ACAAGGTCTCACTAGTTGTCCAGGCTGATCTCAAACTCCTGGGTTCAAGCAATTCTCCTACCTTGTCCTCTCAAAGTGCTGGAATTACAGGAGTGAGCCAGCATGCCTGGCTGGCTTCTCTTTTCTAGCTATGAAAGTCCTAGATAGCATTTTCTTCCAGTAGAAGGCTGCTTCACCTGCATTGAAAATCCATTGTTTAGTGAAACCACCTTCATTAGTGATATCAGCTAGATCTTCTAAGGAATCTGTCACAGCCTCTCCGGTCAGCACTTGCTGCCTCGCCTTGCACTTTTATGTGATGGAGACAGCTTCTCTACTTAAACCTCTTGAATCAGCCTCTGCTAGCTCCAACTTTTCTTCTGCTACTTCCTCACCTCTCTCAGCCTTCACAGAATTGAAGAGAGTTGGGGCCTTGCTCTAGGTTAGGCTTTGATTTAAGGTTATGTTGTGGCTGGTTTGATCTTCTATCCAGGCCACTCACACTTTCTCCATATCAGCAATAATGTTTCACTTTCTTAGCATTTGTGAGTTCACAGGGTAATACTTTTAATTTCCTTCAGGAGCTTTTCCTTTGCATTCACAGCTTGGCTAACTAACTCTTTGGTGTTAGTTGATATGCAGTTAGGGTTCATGGCACCCCCCAACAGTTACAATAATAACATCAAAGATCCGAGACCACTATAGCAGATATAGGAATAATGAGAAATTTTGAAATACTACAAGAATTGTGAAAATGTAACTCGGAGACATGAGGTAAGCACAGACTGTTGGACACATGGTGCTGATGGGCGTGGTACAGGGCTGCCATGGACCTTCCATTGTAGAAAACAGTATCTGTAAAATACAATAAAGCAAGGTACAGTGAGCATGGTGTTCCTAGGCCTCCTCTAGCGGAGAAAGTAAAATGTTAGGAGAGCATTGGTTTAGGGAAGAAGAGGATTTGGCTAATGACACTAGAGAACATTCCCAAGCAAAGAAGAGAAGTTTTGTGTGTTGGATGAGTCACACAGATCTAGGGAACTTTTACACATGAGATTACAAGAGAAGGCAAGAAATAAAAGGAGAGGGAAGGGTCAGATTATCTGAACCACCAGTGAATGTCAAAAACAAGAGGTGAATGGATTCTAGCCTTCATCTAAAACCAAGTGGGATCTGGATCTAAAAGTTTTATTTATTCACTTTTTTAATATGTGCTGAGCATATTAGTTACAAACAGTACTTCATTTGATCCTCCGTTTAACAATTCTATGAAATAGGTGCTGTTACTCAGCAACCTCCCTGTTGGGAATATACCCAGAGGAACTCAAACCATTCTACAAAAGATAGCTGCACATGCATATTTGTTACAGCTTTATTCACAATAGCAAAAACATGGAACCAGCCATGCTGCCCATCAGAGCTGGACTGGTAAAAAAAAAAAAAAAATGTGGTACATATACACAATGGAATATTATGCAGCAATAAAGAAGGACAAACATATGGACTTTGCAGCAACTTGGATGGATTTAGAGTCTATCATACTCAGTGATGTATCACAGAAACAGAGTACCATATGTTCTCACTCAAAAGTGGACCTTGAACAATTATCATAATACTATAAGAAAGGGATTGGCAGTAGTGGGAAACTACCAGGGGAGGCTGGGTGGGATTGGCAGTTGAGGGAAACTGCCAGGGGAGAGTTTTGAAGGGCGTTGGAGATGTTCAGTGGCAAAATCCTCCTCTGCAGATTCTCCTTGGATTTTTCCATTCCTATGAGCACCTTCTTATTAGCTCATCAACTGCCATTATTTCTCCCAACTTAAAAATAAAAAACCTCATCAACAAGGGTACCTGCATAATGAACATTTGTATAACTAACCCTGAATTGTACCCCACATCTTTAAAATTAAAAAATAAATAAATTTTAAAATATAAAACAAGAAAAGAAATGAGTGCTATTATTGATTTCATGACACAGCTAAGGAAATTGAGGCACAGAGGAGTTAAATAACTTGCTCAAGGCCACTTGTTTATTATAAACAGGACACCTGGGATTTGTACCCATGCAAGCATTTTTAATCTTACAGTACTGTACCTTGCACGCATGTGACAGTATATGCCAGACACACAAACTAACATGTGATTCTGGAAGGTGTGCTCTTAGCCACCCTGTAGTTCTGCCCAGGGGTAGTCAAAGCCCTGGAGCATGTATAATTTTGAGGCTTTATGGTACACCCAAGTGTCGCTTCCTTTTCAATGTTTCTGTGCAACGCAGTGTCTAGGGAAGCCCTCTAAAGAAGCTAGAGTGGTGGTGTCAATGTGACTGACAGTTGCACCCTTGGTTGACCACAGAGTATAGCACTGTAATTCCTAGTTAGGTTTCAGGAGACGGGATCTGTCACTGCAGACACAGATCTTTATAATAAGCTTTGTGATAGCAGGGTGTGGTTACATTTGTTAGTTGCAGTCCTGAGACGGTACGCTGATATCATTTTCACTTGAAATTATGAGACCGCTTTTGGTAGGCTTGTGCTTTGGAACTTTGTTAATTCAAGGTCATTTCCTAAGCAAATATTTCTTAAGGGCCCTGTTCTAGGCATTGGAGATGCTCAGTGGCAAGAGCGGTTCCTCCTCTGCAGATTGTCCATGGATTTTTCCTTCTTGTTAGCTTATCAACTGCCATTATTTCTCCCAACTTAAAAAAGAAAACAAAAACCAGAAGAAGCTTCTCTGGACTACACATCCCTCTCTAACTGCTGGCCCAGATCTCTGTACCTGTTTCTGTCAAAGCACCTAGAAAATTGTGTGTTCTAATTTTGTCTCCACTTTATCCAGCAGATCCCTCCAGCTCCAGACTCAGAGCATATCCCCTGCCTCCTAGCAGCCCCACTGGTGTCTGTCAAGTGCCTCGAACTTCCAGAACTGTTTCTTTTCCTGCCTAGGCCTGTACTCTCCTCCCCAGCCCTGTAGGGGTGACTCCATCCTTCCAGTGCTTGGGCCAGGAACGTTGGCTTTCCTCCTTGACGGTGCTCTTGTTCTCATACCCACCTCCATTCCTTCCACAAATCCTGAGGGTGTTACCTTAACGTTCCTCCAGAATTCAACCATTTCATCTCCCCTTTACCATCCCGACCAATACACGTCAAGTTGCCTCATTCCCAGCAGCCCCCTGCTTTCTCTGCTGGCGCCCCCTCCACTGTCTCCTGCCAGCACAGCAGCTAGAGTGATTCCATTAAACATCAGGCAGAATACCTTAAGTCCCCTATGTACGAACCCTCAAGTGGTGAGCATTCAAAGACACAAATGTGCACTCACATATCCAATCACGTAAGCTAGTTCACATGTCTGACGTATATTGTCACGTGCATGCAGAGTACTCTACTGTAAGATGTTTTCTTGATATTTTGTGGTGTTTGTTTTTTATGTATTAGTTGTGTGAAAGGTATTATAAACCAATTATAGTAGTACTATATGGCTGACTGTTAGTTGGGTATCTAAGTTAATTTTGTTGGGCTTATGAACAAATTGGACTTACAAATGCACTCTTGGAACAGAACTTATTCGTATGTAGGGGACTTGCTGTATATCTGCTTTCTCACAATAAGATCTTTAAGGTTTTTTTCCTCCAACATGTCACACTATGGATGAATCTTACATATGTGATGTTCAGAGAAACAGAAACTTAAGGAATTCTTGCTGTCTGATCACATTCATTTAACATACAAAAATGGGTGAAACCAATCCATGCTGTTAGAAACCAGGGTGGCACTGGGGGCAATAATTGCCATTAGAGGGAACACCAGAGGGGCTTCTGGGACTGCGCTCTGTTTCTTGATCAGGGCACTGGTTGCTCATGTGTGTCCCATTTCTGAAAATTCAGCAAGCTATACACTTAGGACATACTCTTTTCTGTGTGTAGTTTATACTTTAATTAAAAATTTTTACAAAATTATTATTTTTCACACCAAAAATAATTATTTAGGCTTAGAGTCAAAGAACTTATCAGTGTTTATACACTGGAACTTAAGCTCCATGTGGGCAGAAGTTGTGGCAGCCTGCATGCACTCCACAAGCATTTATGAGCACTAGGCACTTGGGACATGCTGCAGACATGCCAGACAGAAGCTCCTTCAGCTTCCACAGACGATGATCAGATCAATTGCATCAGTAGACAAGGCGCTGCGGGCTCTGGAGAGGCAGGAGCAGAGGGCATGGTGCGTGCAGAGCGTAGGCAGCGAGGGGGCAGCACTTTTAGTCACAGTTGTATTTTAAAGCAGCAGTTTTATTAAGTGACCAATAAAAAAAAAAGCAGCAGTTTTACATAATGAGAAAAGGTCTTGCTGAGAAGGGGGCATCCCAGCCCGAGGGGGGAAGGAGCTCGTGTGTATCTGGGAGACTTCCTGGACAGGAGTGGAGAAACAAAGGCCCTGAGGCAGCAACAGGCTGGGTGCAGGCCAGCAAGCTCTTCACAAGCTGGGAGGCATGGGACTGGAGAGGGGTGAGCGGGGCAGGCTGACTGGGGTGTAGCCAGAGGGCGCTGGGGCGGGCCATGCGGGGGCTGGCAGGCCTCTGTAGAGATGGATGTTACCCTCGCAAGAGTGGGTGATGGTGAGGGGTCGGGTTTTGCCCAAGCTGGTCTGAGTTGGGCTCCAGTGCTTGTGGTTGCCGGTGCTGTAAATAGACCTCGGTGTCTCTTCCATTCTACTCTTGATGGACTTTGGGTGGTTTCCACTTTGGGCGCGTGATGAGGCTGACTGTGAACATCCCAGTGCATGTCTTTGGGTAAACTAGTGTTTGCAAGAGATACTGAACAAGGCATATCCTTGTTTCCCACTTGAATCCTTTTGTGGCATAACATGTTAGTTCTAGTGAACGTTAGACAGTCAGCCCTGTGGTCCACAGGAGAGGCAGATTCTCAAGTATGTGTTAGGGTGAAGCAGTCAGGTGTGCCAGGACCACAGAGTTGGGGGAAGCTCTGTGGCATGTGGTACCAGCCAGGACACGTGGCAGCACTGAGCCACATGTCAGGCAGTTTGCCCCACGAGCACTCTCAAGTGTGCAAGGTCACACTGGACCCCAGAGACAGAAGGTTTTGCAGGGAAGCAGGGGGCTCAGCAGCGCCTGAAAGCACACACAGCTTTGCAAAGGCCAAGGCGGACACAGTGGACAGGATTCGAGCTAGCAGGGCCACTTGGCCTTTTGGGCCACGGATGGTCAGCCTGGCAAGAGTAGAGTATAGGAGTCATCTGGAAGCCCACAGAGATCTGGGCAGTTATGTACCTCAAGTAAAGCGGGCCGCTGTGTTCAAGTCTGAGAACATTTCTCATGTCTCAGTCATTTTGATGCATTAATGCCACATTTACCGCTATGACTCCTCCAAGTGCACAAGGGCTAAATATTTTAAATGCATTTGTGCTTTTAGGCAGACAAAGAAAGCCCATCCAGTGTGACGGCATCAGACCCCAAGATGGAAGTGAAGGCAGGCCAGACTCTGGAGAGCGGCCTGCCCACGGCCGAGCTCCTGAGCGATGTGCCCTTCACCCTGGCCCCACATGTGCTGGCAGTACAAGGCCCTGTCGGCGACCTCCCCGACCACCTGCTCTCCTGCGACATCAGTGAGAACCTGTCGCGGTTCTGGTACGATTTCACACTTGAAAACTCCGTGCTCTGTGACTCGTGATCTGTGTCTGTTTGCACCATGACAGCTTTATTTTAAAAGTCTACCTGTTTTATGTAACCTATTTGTTCTTTGCCATTTCACTGTTTAAAGGTCCTCAGTAAAGCAAGGATCATAAAGCAAAGCAAATAGTGTTGTGTCCATTGCTCTACTTTTTAGAATAAAATACATTTGTATAAAAATTGAACTTAAGTTCTCCTTCCTTTCTCCCTCATAACACATTTTAAAGGCAGGCCATGAAGGTTTTACGAAAGGAGCTGATTCTTTCAGATGGTTTCTTAGCGTGTACTGACTCAAATTCCTCTTAGAACTGTGAAGAATCACTGTGGCATTTTCTAGTTACCACAGCTCAGAAGTCTGAGCTGGGAGGGAGTGTGAAACCTCTCCTCTGGGCTGAAGGAGGCTTGAATTAATGTGATTATTCTCTTTCTTTTCTTCTAGTGTTTATGAATGAATTCAGGAAAATAGTTGCCCGTTGGTTTAGTGTCCTTATTCTCACTCAGACATGTTGATGTGGGATTTCAAACAGTCCCTAATGGCACTGGCAGTTTGAGACATAAGAACACTGTGCCCTGGGTGCGTTTCTTGAGGGGCAGGTTGCTGCTTTCTGGAGCCTGGGGTGGCCCTTTCTACCACCAGCAAGTCCTGTACCCACCTGTGTCCTCTCCACTAGGCCTCCAAGAACATCCCCACCTGCCTCAGCTGACCTTCGCCCCCCACCCCCAGTTAGTAAAGAAACATGTTTCCTCCCTGCCTCCTACGAAAAGATCTCGCGGTGATACAGATGACTGCTGATAACACCCTCATTTGGAAGTTTGTTGACCACAATACACATGTGAATGCATTATGGTAGAAAAACTGCAGTCATTGCCAATTAGAGTGTAGGTAAAACACCTGGATGTGACTTTTAGTTCTTGTCCATGATTTATTTCAGCTAAAACAGCACTGCCATTGGTCTACAGACTGTACAAGGAAGGTGTAAATTGTTCTAGAGGACATTCTGTGCCTGGGAAACTGAACCACACTTGTTTTGATTACCAGCAGGATGATGTATTAATTCTGTGCCAAATTTTAAGTATATTTTTTCACAAAGATAGTGTGCCATAGTAAAACTAAACACTGTGCATAAAGGTACATGAACTATTTAAGCTTTAATGTGTTATGCATGTTTGTTTAATACATGTGGCATGGTCTTTGATAAAAATGCTATATTATTTAAAAGTTTAATAAACACTTCCATTAACAGAAATGTGCATTTACAAATAATGTTACCATATGAGGATAATGATTAATTTGGGTCTTTACATCATTTTCATAAAACATCTGCCTAGGAAGTATGGCTTATTTTCTGATGCAAATGTGAATATTTTATAGCAGCTTTTGTAAAAGCACATCTTTTTCAAATATCCATGTTAATGTACCTTTTAAACTAAATGTCAGCATATAGTCAGTTTGTCTTATTTATGAGTTAAATTTTGTGTAAAAACACTTAAACATTTCATTTATATTTATGTCTACCATGTTATAAATATGCTTATAAGTAGCTTTATTTGTCTACAGAATTGTTATATTTAAATGAATGTGAATTAAAATAAATATTTTGATTATTTTCAGATCCAGAAAAATGGTTTTCTTTGCATTATTTATATCTGAATGCAAGTTATTGATTCTTTAGGAGCTAAAGATTTAAATATTTAGTTTGCATAGTGTAGAGAAAATATGCAGTTTCCTCTTTAGATGTAAGTTTTTAAGAATAAAATTGAAAATGGTAAGATCACTAGTCCCGTCTTAATAGGACTGGATGGATTGGAGAGATATGACGTGAACATCTTTAGCTAGATCCCATCACTACAAAATTCAGTAAGGGCCAATGTGATGGCCTTTTTTAAACAAAAATATTGTGAAAATGGTCATTAAAATTTGTTTATCCTGTATACAAATCAGAATTATTATTTTAAAACTGAAAAAAAACATGAGAAATCACAGACCAATTCCATTTTACTCAAGATAAAATTGATGCCTAGAAAGGCCGAATGGCGCACATCACCTAGCTAGTTATACATGAATGTTGACTTTCACAGTGTTAATCATTATAACATAAATTGTGACAAAGCTTATGACATGGTAGGAAGAGCTCAGGCGTTTGAGGCAGCCAGCCAGAGTTTGTCACGACTCCTTAATGTACAAGCTGGGGGGCTGTGACTTGGTTCCCTGGCTTCCAGTGTCCTCAGTGTCCTCGACTGTTAAACACTAACTGTTTATCCTTGCAGGGCTGTGTTGAGTTATAAGTGGAATACGTCAGATCCTGGCAGCCAAAAGCCTGGCGACTCTGGGTGTCTGGGAGAGGAACCGACTAGTTCTCATTACTCTCCCCACACACACCGTAGGCTAACGAAATGCAAAGTACGTGTTCACTGAACTGCTTCATGAGTGACATGACAGATAGCTGCCCACATTAATTGTAGCTCCCCTCCACCCCGGTATTATTTTTCCTTTTAAATACTTCACTGTGAAAGTTATTCTGAAAGTATATTAGTTGATTCTTCTGCCTTAGCTAAGAATTCCGTAGTAAGCACTCTTCTCATTATTGGGAACGATAGGCCTTTTCCTTACTAGGAGTTAATTTTGTAAATTACTGTAGGGATAGAATGTGCCAGTGATTTTACAGGATCTTGTGTTTATCACTAAAATATATTTGGGAAGTTGTATGTATTTTTTTTCCATCTTCCTTTAATGTTATTTGCAGTGTTCCCTAAAAACAGTATTAGAGAGAGAGAGAGAATTCTGACCAATGTATTATCCTAGTTAATTAAATTTTGATTAACTGAACTTTTTAAATCATGCCATTAAAATGTTAACAATACATAATTTTTGTTAACAATTCTAGGAACCCCACAATAGTTTTTTTAAGCAAACATTCTTTGACACCAACACTTGTGTTTTCCTTTCTTAAAGTAAAATGAAAACAGTGTGAGAAAAAAAGAAAGAAAAAAACCTCTTCTAAAATCCCCAGAAACTTTCTTTCTCCTAATTCCAAAACGCAGGTGAAGAGGAGCAGGGAAATAATCTCACCCACATTCTGAGACACAGGGACATGAGTGTGTGCCCCACACCTCCCAGGCTAGCAATTGGTCAGTAAATGGGCACTGTCCTCCAGAATCTGGCAGAGAACGCCTTCCGGAGACTGCCATGTCAATTCTATCGTTAAGAACAGTCACATGAGACACTCGCGTTCTGGATAGGTGACTGAAGGATGTCCTGTCTCTTAAAACCATTGAGAAACACGGTTCTGTATACATCCCTTTTCAGCATCCATGCCATGTTTCTGAGGGTGTGCACTAAATATTACTGGGAAATCTAAAACGCTCAGAATAAGTCCACTCTGTGCATACTATGTTGGCTTGAAAGATGGAGTATTCTTAGGTTTCAGGAAAATGACCCTTGCTGCCATATGGTTTGGCGGAGAGGTGTGTGAAAGGGAGAAAAAAGAGGTATTGATCGGTGCAAGGAACTCTGTCGCAGTCAATAGACAATATGGTGATCTTTTTAAAAATGTAAATAAACTTTATTTCAGAATACTTTTAGAATTACGGAGAAGTTCAAAAAAATTGCACAGTGTGTTCCCACAGACCCCTCATCCAGTTCCCCTTCCTGTTGGCATCTCACGTTATGACACTACCCTGCACTCTATTCAGATGTCATGGTTTCCCTCTAATGTCTTTGACTTTTTCCTACCTCATCCCCAAGATATCTTACGCATAATGTCATCCTCCAGCAAGTGGCGTGGAAACGAGATATTAGTCTAATCATTTGCCTCTTCAAAGAACCAAGAAAACTCATGGTACAAAGAGCTTTCTCTATCATAGGCGAAACTTTTCTCTAGTAATAGCAGAAATAAAGTTGTAGCTCCTTAGTTTTCTAAAGAAGATGGATTTCATTTTCAACTTTTAAGAAGGAGTTTTAAGAAGTAATGAAAGGAAACCCTTCTATTAGAGCAGGTGCCCAAGAAATTCTTAATTTTACTTCTGATTAATGAAGACTCACTGCGTGCTAAAACATAAGGTTGATCTCATCCAATTTCAGTTGGGAAAGAATCAAAGCAAAAAGCATCTTATTTGGTCCCTGGAAGAAACAGTGTGGTTCTTTGTCAAGAATTTGCCCAAGCCCAATTTTCACCCATACAAAGGAAATAAATTCCTTACAATCAAAGGTAAAGCACAGGATAATTGCATCCAGAACTACCCATCAGTAGGCAACTCTGCACCAGCCCCGACAGTCAGCTTGTTAGTTACCTCCCGAGCCAGAAAGGGAGTCAGACAATAGACCATTTCAGAGGTCAGCTAAGGAGACAGGCCCCAACTTAGGACCGCTGCCAGGGACGTACACACCAGTGTCTGACATCTGGGCTCTGCAGCTGCCAAGTCTGCCCCTGGTGCAGCCACAGGTGTTGGCCATCACTCTGAAGTGCATGGAGGAAGGAACAGGGTAAGGTCAATTTCATTTTGCGTATGTGTGTTTATGTATATGGCTTAATTTTTTCAGAAGGTACATAATTTACTTTGTTTTAAAATTAATGAATTTCTGTAGAATGGCTGGGAACATTTGGGAGCTAACAAAGAAGCAGCTTTTGATCAAGAACAAAGGCAAGACAAAGCTAAGTTCTTACACCCACAGGACACACTGTACGCGAACCGTTGTGTTGGTACTGTTAACTTCGTCATTTGAATAGGCCTTCTTGGGACAAAAAAAAGACATGGATACTGAAAAGCAAACAGGCGGTCGGGCTAAGATAAAACCTAAGCACTGGTTCTCTCCCCATCATCTCTCTCCTCATCCCTGTTTTTGGGTCATCAGGAGTACTGGGGTTTATCCATACAGACTGTGTAGTCTTCTATCTCACACCATATCAGCTATAGCCGTCAATTAGCACAGCTTAGACAGGAGCACTAAACTTTTCCTTTTGCAGGAAATTTAGCTCCTATTTATGAGGAAAATCTGGAAGTTTCTACCTCAGGTAGTATTTGAGTTTCCTAATCCTAAAGATGTAGACAGCAGTAGAAGAAATAAAGATAAGAGAACAGAATGACCCTGGCAAGAACTATAAAAAAATCAATAGCCAGCAGCCTTTTAAAAATATGTATCTGTGCCTCCATAGTTAAGTATATCTTTCTGCCTTGTTTTGCCTAATCCAGAGTTTGAAATCAGAAATTGGATTTAGTGGAGGAGGAAGAAATCTTCATGCTTCATATCTTCTATTGAGTCTCTTCTAAGGAGAAGAAATGCTTGAACCTTAGACCAGCGTCTGTCCTCTTTTAAAATGAATGTGCCTCACGGTGTTTTTTCACGGTATCCTCTATGTATTCCTACAGCTTAGAAGATTCTTGACAGGTTTTATTTTATTTTCTGTAACAAAGACAATAGTAAATTTTAAATGCTTTTTCAAACATTGGCCCCCATCTCCATTTCTCTTAAGAATCTGCTCTTTGGCCAGGCGTGGTGGCTCAAGCCTGTAAACCCGGCACTTTGGGAGGCCAAGAGGAGAGAATTGCCTGAGTCCAAGGGTTCAAGACCAGCCTGGGCAACTTGGTAAGACCTCGTCTGTAGTTCCAACTAACGTGGATGGCTGAGACGGAAGGATGACCTGAGCCCAGCAGGTCGCGGCTGCAGTGGCCGTGAGCGTGCCACCACACTCCAGTCTGGGTGATGGAGTGAGACTCTAACTCAAAACAAAAAGAATCTGCTCTCCTGTTGGTGTTCTACTGGACTTGTGCTTAGCACATAATAAATCATCAATCAGGATTTGTTGAATTAATAAGCGAACCAATGAAATAAATCATTAAACTATCTACCAATGAAATTTCCCAAAAGCAAAGGAATAGATTTCCAAAACTTTTGTAGTGTCTCTGGCCTCAGAATGAGCTGTATTTGTGCAGCTGAAAATAATGCTCAGCTTACCAAGCCTCTACAAATTGGGCCTTTTATCTGTTTTGGGCATTTTCCATGTCTCTCAGGTTGTGTTTTCCTCTGCCCATAATGACTGTGTATGTCCTCATGATGAGTAGGAGCTGACTTTGGACAATACGGTGTATTTTGGTGCTGTGGATTGACTCACTGAAGGTTTTTTCTGGCTGCCAAGCATCCTTTGTGTGTGTGCGTTTCTTGGTTATAATTGTATTTCCGCCCCAGAATTGATGAATCCTATCCATCTTGTCCTTGAGAAATGTGTTCCTTGTTTATATACTTTCCTCTAAGCTCGTCTGGGTATTTCAAATGACCTTGCTTTAGAAGAAGACTTATTTTTCTAGAAGCCATCGTACATCTTTCTTTAGCAACTCTCCTGCATCTCTGTCTTACATGTCCTACCTAGCCAATTCTATTCCCTTGTCATATAAATGTGTTTAGATCTTTTCCAATGCCAATTGTAACTCTTTCTCTTGAAATCAAGCTTCTTGAGAGAAGTGGTCTGAATCTGTGTCTCCACTTGCTCACTGTCCACTCATCCATTTCTGTAGTCTGATGTCCCACCCCTAGTTAGAACCTCTACCAAATTGGTCCTCACTCCAGCTACCTTTAAAACTTGCCAGATGCCTGTCTCCATTTCTTTGAAGTGGTTCTCAGTCTTGAT